AGCGCTCTCTGAGTGCCGCTGTAACTCTGCCAGTGTAGAGCAGGAACCTCAGCGACTTCCAGAGGATGAATGAGGTTTGCAGGCTATGGGATTAAGATGGGAGTAAGAGAAAGGAGTTTCCTTATTCTTAAACTTGATGCAGTATAGAAATGTACACAACACTGTGCCCAACAGCTTAGACAAGGCCCTGCCCCAAGGAATTTCAGTATATTGTTAAGTACAACTTGTAGTGGAAACAGAAAAAAAGAAAGCCTGAGGGTGTGGGCAAGCAATCAGGGACTGAATGAAAGGTAAATGGGTTTCAAGGAGGTCACAGCAGGCAGGTAGAAACTACCCGCTGTGACACCCATTCCCACTCCTGTTCAGATGGGGAGGGAGAGGGAAGGAGGCACACTGGGGAGCTGATCTCAGTCACACTCATTTGTCTCCTATGCACCCACCTGCCTGACTCTGGGGAGGCAGCAGCCCCCCGGGACCAAGCCAGGGGGCTTCTGAGCAAGGGGAATGGGGAGGACAGACCCTTCAGCTGCTAATGGGGGGGGCACAATTTAAAGGTTCTCCCCCAACAGCTCGAGTGTCATACCCCCCCTCCCGAGGCAGCCCAGCCCTCCCCCTTGCGCTCACTTCCCCTATGGGAAAGCAGCTGTTCCTTCCTTCCTCCCCTACCTAACCTCTCCCTGCAGAGCTGAAGCAGCAGCCCTTCCCCCTGCTGCTCCCAGGCTCCCAGCTATTTGGTGCATGTGCTGTTGTATACCTCTCCCAGGCTGCCTCCAGCAAGCAAGGGAAGGAGCGGGAGAGCTCGGCAGGCAAACCCTGGCAGAAAACTGGGGAAGAGGGGTAATGTGACCCAGTGCATGCCCCTCCCCCCCATGTATCACCTCTCTGCAGGGAAGGGAAGGGATGGGAGCAGGCAGACTGCAGCAGCACCCCTGGTTAGCATGGTGCTCACCATGTGGAGCTAAATGGGCGCTCCAGTCCTGCCGGCAGCGCCAGCCCTTTCCTGGTCAAGTGGGGCTCTTAGTGGGGAAGGGTGGACCCAGACCTGCTCTACACTAACACACAACCAGATAGCAGGGCTGTTCCAAGCCCCCAGTCAGCCGGAGCACACAGAGACAAGCTGCACACACACTCCTCCTTCAACCCCCATCACCACCCTGCACCAACTTCAGCCGCCCATCCCAGACATCCGGTTGGGAACCAGCCCAGCCTGCACTACCCACTCCCCATGGTTTCTACAGGGGGCCTCTGTCCCAGGAGAGTGAGAAGCATCCCCCTGGCCCCCGGGCACCCACCCCTGCTGCTGCTCCCACCAGAAGAGTTACCTGAGAGTGAGTACCTCAAGCTGCAGCTTGGATGTGTATTTTTTTCTCTCCCATCCTGCCCCTGGCTGGTCTGGCAGTAGTGCTTCCCCTCCTTAAGCCCAGCTGGCTGGCCGCAGGTAAGGTCACATGGGACGTATCAAATGTGGCCCCATCAGCACGTCATCGTGGGCAACTGCCCTTATCACCCTGGTCAAAGGCCGGCCCTGGCAGCCACCTCAACCTGCCCCCGGTGCCGCTCCCTTGTAGCCGGCAGCGGTTGGTGAGGGACCACAGCACAGAGCTGCAGGGGGCAGCCACCCACTGTCCAGGACAGGCAAGGACACGCGGGGGAGGCACGCGGGGGTGACAGGGGGGCTGACCTAAAGATAATGTCAGGAGGACAGTGTGATGGATAGAGATGTTTTGATTGAACCCACATGTACATAGTAGAGGATGGTAATTAACCACGTAAGAGGGGCAATACATAACTTGTATCATTAGAGGAGGTTTTGGAACAAATTGATAAATTATACAGCAATAAGTCACCAGGACCAGATGGTATTCACCCACGAGTTTTCAAGGAACTCAAATGTGAAATTGCAGAACTACTAATTGTAGTCTGTAACCTATCATTTAAATCAGCTTCTGTACCAGATGACTGGAGGATAGCTAATGTGATACCAATTTTTAAAAAGGGATCCAGAGGTGATCCCGGCAATTACAGGCCTGTAAGCCTGACTTCAGTACTGGGCAAACTGGTTGAAACTATAATAAAGAACAATATTCTCAGACATATAGATGAACATAATTTGTTGAGGAAGAGTCAACATAGTTTTAGTAAAGGGAAAGCATGCCTCACCAGTCTACTAGAATTCTTTGAGGGGGTCAACAAGCATATGGGCCATGGGAATCCAGTGGATATACTGTACTTAGATTTTCAGAAAGCCTTTGACAAGATCCCTCACCAAAGACTCTTACGCAAAGTAAGCTGCCATGGGATAAAAGGGAAGGTGCTCTCATGGATTCGTAACTGGTTAAAAGACAGAAAACAAAGGGTAAGTATAAATGGTCAGTTTTCAGAGTGGAGAGAGGTAAATAGTGGTGTCCCCCAGGCAGACTGCGAAGAGCTACAAAAGGATCTCTGAAACTGGGTGATGGCAACAAAATGGCAGATGAAATTTAATGTTGATAAATGCAAAGTAATGCATATTGGAAAGCATTATCCCAACTATAGATATAAAATGATTGGGTCTAAATTAGCTGTTACCACTCAAGAAAGAGATCTTGGAGTCATTGTGGATAGTTCTCTGAAAACATCCACTTAATGTGCAGAGGCAGTCAAAAAACCAAACAGAATGTTGAGAATAATTACGAAAGGGATATCTAATAGGACAGAAAATATCATGTTGCCTCTATATAAATCCATGGTACGCCCATATCTTGAATACTGTGTGCAGATGTGGTCCCCCCATCTCAAAAAAGATATATTGGACTTGGAAAAGGTTCAGAAAAGGGCAGCAAAAATGATTAGGGGCATGGAATGGCTTCCGTATGAGGAGAGATTACTAAGACTGGGACTTTTCAGCTTGGAAAAGAGAAGGCTAACGGGAGATATGATCGATGTCTATAAAATCATGACTGGTATAGAGAAAGTAGATAAGGAAGTGTTGTTTACCACTTCTCATAACACTAGAACTAGGGGTCACCAAATGAAATTAATAGGCAGCAGGTTTAAAACAAATATAAGGAAGTATTTCTTCACACAACGCACAGTCAACCTGTGGAACTCCTTGCCAGAGGATGTTGTGAAGGCCAAGACCATAAGATGGTTCAAAAAAGAACTAGATAAATTCATGGAGGATAGGTCCATCAATGGCTATTAGCCAGGATGAGCAGGAATGGTGTCCTTAGACTCTGTTTGCCATTAGGTGGGAATGAGCGATGTGGATTGATTACTTGATTATTACCTGTTCTGTTCATTCTCTCTAGGGCACCTGGCACTGGACACTGTTGGAAGACGGGATACTGGGCTAGATGGACCCTTGGTCTGACCCAGTAGGGCCATTCTTATGTTCTTATTGGTGTATAAAATGGAGTCTCACGGAGTGTCTTTGGGCAGCCAAGAAGGCAGTGGAAAGTCCCGCCACTGACTGAACTGGTCCATTGTAACTGTCATACATGTGTTAGTGGTCCTGTAGAATCTAAGGGATACTAGGTCCTTGCTTCGTTAACAATAAAACCTAGCTGGGTGCCTTTGCTACTAAATCATGTCTGTGGTTTTATTGGGTGGATCAATCAAGGTCTGCTGTGCCAACTTTCTGCGCAGCGCCAGAACAGCATACAGAGAAAACACACACACACACACACACAAGGCCAACATTTGACGACAACTGTATTTTGAGACAGTTGCCAACAAGCCAACATAAGGTTTTAGAGAGGAAGTCATTTTTCCATATATAGTATCACTTGCACAATGGGTTGATGTCTGTTATTCACAGGTAACTTAGGGAGTGCCAAACTGGACCTCTGGTGAATCAGGGCCTTTAAATCTATAGAGATGCCCTGAATGGCAGAATGCCTAAAGGACAAGTCATGATATGGAGAACTAAAGGGATGCTATGGGAACTGTGGGTTCATTGTCATCCACTCTCTGCTGCACGCCCAATGCAACAGCTCTTTCCCAAAGATCAGAGACTGGTTATGTATAACACTCCCTCTTTGTGATAGTGAGGTGGAAGCAAACCAAATAGATGCCAGACTCATTCGACCTTTCTGAGTCACAGAACTTTGTCTGTTTGTTTGTTGTTACTTGGACTAGAATTGCTTCTCTGATATCTACATTCTTTGACTATTTCTACCCGAGAAACTTCACCTTTTCAAAACAGAAGTGAGTGTAATAGATATTCTGAAGTGTTTCCAGGCATATCAGTCAAACATTGCTTGATGCACCAAGGATATACGGACAAAGAATTGTGATAAAAGACTTACACTCCATGGAAGTTGGTGAAACAGTATTTTACATGAAGCAAAAGTAATAAAAGCCAAAACAATTTGTGCAGTATTGAACAAGTAATTTAATGAGTAATACAGAAATGACAAATGATTTAAAAGTAACTCAGGTGACAGCTCTCTATTTGTTATTAGAAGAACAGTTCCCTATCTCATAATCCTTCCTTCCTTGTGTGATAATTACTTTCAAGAATAGACTTATTGATCCCATTGTTCCAAGAGCCCTTTTTCACTGAGGGTCAGATTTTGACACTCTCATTCATGCTGAGTAGTATCTTATATTAGGAGTAGTCCAATTAATCTAAATGGACCAAATTCTGATGTCCTCCTTGCAATGCAGTCCACAGGTTTATTTGCAGAGTAAGGTACTACTCCATGTGATCAAGTGTGGCAGAATCCAGCCCTCAGTACTTTTAGTGGGAACAGTTCTGCTACCCTTACTCCCATTGATTAAGACCTTACAACCCTTGTATTCCTGTTGCAACTAACAGGAACGCTTGTGCGGTAAGGTGACTCTGCACATGAATGAAGATGGAGATGTCTGGCCCATTGTATCAATGGGATTACTTACAGAATAAGAACTATATATGTATAATGTATATCTTGGCAGGAACTGATCTTTAGATAGATAGTACTTTAAATGGTATTTTGTAGAGAGTGAAGTTGACATTGATGGAGAAGAAATCTCGGTCATTGAATATTATACAAGTCTAGCATGTAAGATGCTGAATTTCAAGCAAAAAAGAAAAATTATACTAGGATAAGAACATAATTTGAGTGGCCAGATCCTACACTAAGATGAGTAGTCCCATTGAAGTCACTAGGACTACACACATAAGGGCTGCAAGATGGGACCCTGATTTTCTAAAAGGTGCTGTTATTAAAGAGAAGAATTTCCATGAAGGGAGGAATCCGAGGCTGTTATTTTATTTCAGTGGGGCAACGGCAGGAGGCAAGACAGTATTTCTTGACCAGGGATTGTGCACATCCATATTGCTTTGCTAAATCAGGACAATTTGAGTAAGTGTCCATATACGTACAAGGATTGGCTGAAAATGAAACACATCATGAGATTAGATATTAAAGGAAACAGTGTAGGGTGTTTTTCCTATCGTTACAGCATATTTTGACTAAGTAAACATTTTCCAGTGTATTTTTTTCAGCACAGTTTTACTTATTCCCCAGTAAGGTTCTGCACCTGGGTAAGTTTCATCCTTAGGGAATTCAGTGACTCAGTGTGATGGCGCTAGCCACCCCAAAATGAGTAGAGGAGCTGAATGGAGGGCAGAGCAATGGACCCATTCTCCTCTGTGCACGCTCAGTGGGGTGTGAGGTTGCATCATTTCACAGGGTGAAAGGGCAGCCATACTGTCCCTTGCCTCCCAGAACTACTGTGCCCACCTCAGGCGCAGCACCTCCAGGAGTTCCACCTCCAGTCTGTCCATATGTGTGTCTCGGAAGTTACAACCGCAAAATCCATTGCAGGTTTTTCTATACACTCAGCAGTTCTTAGTGTACAAATCCAAGTGGCTTTGGTTGTTAGCAAAAGGCCCTGACAGCCTACCATATGAGATAGGGGAATGAGAGCCACCTCTCTCTGCCTGGGGAGGCACATTAGGCGACATAACAGATTAGAGACTCCGCTGTTTTTTCTCGCACACCATGTGGCAGCTTTGCTGAGGTGGGAGAGATACTACAGCAAACTTAGGAGAAACTTGTTGCTCAGAGGCAAAGGGTCTAGTACAGGGGTCGGCAACCTTTCAGAAGTGGTGTGCCGAATCTTCATTTATTCACTCTAATTTAAGGTTTTGCGTGCCAGTAATACATTTTAACGTTTGTAGAAGGTCTCTTTCTCTAAATCTATAATATATAACTAAACTATTGTTGTATGTAAAGTAAATAAGGTTTTTAAAATGTTTAAGAAGCTTCATTAAAAATTAAATTAAAGTGCAGAGCCCCGGGTCCTGTGGCCAGCACCCGGGCAGTGTGAGTGCCACTGAAAATCAGCTTGCGTGCCGCCTTTGGCACGCGTGCCATAGGTTGTCTACCTCTGGTCTACCATATGAGATAGGGGGATGAAAGCCACCTCTCTCTGCCTGGGGAGGCACATTAGGCGACATAACAGTTTAGAGACTCAGCTCTTTTTTCTTGCACACCACAAGGCAGCTTTGCTGTGGTACCTCTCCCACTACAGCAATCTTAAGAGAAACTTGTTGCTCAGAGGCAAAGGGTCTAGTACACCTCTTCCTTGATATAACGCTGTCCTCTGGAGCCAAAATATCTTACTATGTTATAGGTGAAACCGCGCCATATCGAACTTGCTTTGCTCCATGGGAGTATGCAGCCCCGCCCCCCCGGAGCACTGCTTTACTGCGTTCTATCCGAATTTGGGTTATATCAGGTCGCGTTATATTGAGGTAGAAGTGTATATAAAACACCAAGGGCTAGAATGTGCAATGCTCACTCAGGTGGAGGAGCACTTACTCAGTCCCACTGAAGCCCATGGAGCTACTTGCATGAGTAAGTGCTCACCAGGGTGAGTAAAGGTTCCACACTGTGGCTCCAAGGTTATTACCCAGAATGAGAAGTAGGAAAATGCCGTTACTCCACTTGGACTGGACGAATGACATAGTCTAAAATCCCTGTGAGAACTTGCTCTAGCCATGGTAGGTGTTAAATATTTTTAATGTTTTCACAAATTCCTTTTTCTTTTCTTTTTGGGGGTGGGTGGGAAGGGGGCAGAGTTAATGGTGATCTCCTTGCTCATATTAATCAGCAGCGTACTCCACAAGTTGTCTCACTGATTTCAATTGGACTATTCATTATCTATTTATGTGATGTCTAGCACAACAGAGCCCTGGTCCATGACAGTGGCTCCTAAGTGCTATGACGATACAAATAATAAATCAGACTAATGGTATAAAGTCCTATTCAGTACAGATTCACAGAAATGTAGGGCTGGAAGGGACCTTGAGAGGTTATCTGTTCCCATGCTGAGGCAGAATTAAGTATTCCTAGGCCATCCCTGACAAGTTAATCTAGCCTATTCTTAAAAAAAAAAATTTACCAATGATGGGGATTCCAACCTGTTCCTGTGCTTAACTACCCTTAAATTAGAGAGATTTTCCTAATATCTAAATCTCCCTTACTGTAAACTAAGCCAATTACTTCTTGTCCTACCCTGGGACGATGTGGAGAACAATTGATCACCATCTCCTTTATAACAAAATTGTACATCTCTGCAGACTATGTCCCCCTCAGTCTTCTCTTTTGAGGAGGACATGATAACATGATGACATTCCCCAGACATACCAGTCCCCCATCAGGAGCCCTTACATGAGCCCCAACACATGGTCATTTTCAAACATGGCATGCTTAGCAATGAGCGTGGGTAAGGGCATTGCAGTCTGGCTCTGGAGGCATGGTTTTTGAGTTGATAATTTCCCAAAGCCTTCCCTCCAAGGGAATTAAACATTGTTTTGCAGTGGCAAAGTTCTCACTTATTAATACTTCAATTTGCTAAAACTTACTGCATAGTCCATCGTCACAAGCATTAGGGCAATCTTCACACGCTGCTCCTGATTTGTAAGGTGTTTTTATTAAGGTATTGATATTCCCCCTGAAAGGGTAAAATTAAACAGCATAAAACGTAAAGCCAGTCTACAACACGCATCTTCATTTACACACAGGGGACATTTACATTGCTGGAGTGGGTGTGATTAGCAGGTTGTGCAGACATCCCCTCACTAGCTCTAATCCTGCTACCAGGCTGCAAATAAGGGAAGACGTCATGGGGCAGGCTTCAGCACAGGCTGCACAAGGGAGTATGTGCCTAGAGGGGTCAGGCAGGCTTATCCAGCCTGGGCTGATGCCTGTTCTGATGCACGCTTCCTATTATTTTTGCAAGTGAGCTAGAATAAAACTAGCATGGGTGTGATTGCAGCTCACGTAGACGTACCCCTGGCTGCAGTGTAGACACATCCTCAGTCTGGTCTGTAGCAAACAACAATTTCAAAGTGTAACTCTTAATATGAACCAAAGCTGTATAACCAACCCCCTGCACTGCTTTGAAACTCTTACCCGTTGGCTTTATTGTTAACGTATTGCTTACAATACTTGCAAGTGTTCATGTGCCATCCTGCACAGAGGGCTCACAGCGACCAGCACTGCTACTTCAGAAGCATGTACAATTAACCCTGCAGGAGCAGTGGCGGATTTAGAGTTAGTGGGGCCCTGTGCACAGCTTCATTTCTGGGAGGAAGTTTGGGGGCACGGTGCAGGCTCTGGACTGGGGCAGGGGGTTGAGGTGTGGGACGGGGGCGGCGCTTAACTCCGGTGGTGCGGCTCCCAAAGCGACCGGCACAGAAATCCCTTCAGGAGCGGCTCCTAGTGGAGGGCGGGGGGGGGGAAGGAGGCAGGGGGTCTCTGCGCGCTGCTGCACGCAGGTGCCACCTCGGGAGTGCCCATTGACCACACTTATGGCCAATGGGAGCTGCGGAGTCTGTGCTCGGGTGGGGGCAGCGTGCGATTAAAGTGTTCTCCTACTGGCTTGTGTATGTTACCATTCCTGATGTCTAATTTGTGTCCATTTATTCTTTTACGTAGGGACAGTCCGGTTTGGCCAATATACATGGCAGAGGGGCACTGCTGTCACTTGATGGCATATATAACACTAGTAGACATGCAGGTGAATGAGCCCTTGATGCTGTGGCTGATGTGGTTGGGTCCTCTGATGGTGTCGCCACAGTAGATATGGGGACAGAGTAGGCAATGAGGTTTACTACAGGGATTGGTTCCTGGGTTGGTGTTTTTGTGATGTAGTGTGTAGTTGCTGGTGAGTATTTGCTTCAGGTTGGGGGGGCTGTCTGTAAGTGAGGACTGGCCTGCCTCCCAAGGTCTGTGAGAGTGAGGGATCTTTTTCCAGGATATGTTGTAGATCGTTGATAATACACTGGAGAGGTTTTAACTGGGGGCTGTACGTGATGGCGAGTGGTGTTCTGTTATTTTCCTTGTTGGGCAAATCGGACATCAGGAATGGTAACATACAAAAGCCAGTAGGAGAACACTTTAATCTCCCTGGACATTCTATAACAGATTTAAAAGTAACTATACTTGAACAAAAAAACTTCAGAAACAGACTTCAAAGAGAAACAGCAGAACTAAAATTCATTTGCAAATTTAACACCATTAATTTGGGCTTGAATAGGGACCGGGAGTGGCTGGCTCATTACAAAAGCAGCTTTGCCTCTCCTGTAATTGACACCTCCTCATCTATTATTGGGAGTGGACTACATCCACCATGATTGGATTGGCCCTGTTAATACTGGTTCTCCACTTGTGAGGTAACTCCCTTCTCTTCATGTGTCATTATATAATGCCTGCATCTGTAATTTTCACTCCATGCATCTGAAGAAGTGAAGTTTTTTACTCACGAAAGCTTATGCCCAAATAAATCTGTTAGTCTTTAAGGTGCCACCGGATTCCTTGTTGTTTTTGTGGATAAAAAGAAGACGCTCTTATTTCTCACTTACCAAGCAGTTAGAAAAGAATGCTTAGATTTTTAAGCAGACCAGACCTCAATGGGCAATTAAGGGTTCTAGGAGTTGTTTTATTTTAGAATGTAATTTGCATATACGCTTCTGCATACCGTTATTACTGAATTGCCCCTCCGACCATAAACCCACTAAAAAATTATGATGCAATCAGCAATGTAGCTGAAAGTTTCCTGGGTCATTTTAATGAATTAAAACACTAAGGAATTCCAATAATCAATTAAATCTATAGTTAATACATACGCAGGGCAGTAATGACAAACATAAAAGTAGTTGTATTCACTCTCAGGACAAAAGGCAACTGCACATCCAATCTGGTAAGACTTGTACCAAACCACCTGGAGATAGAAGAGTAACTACATGAGTGAATGTGAAAGACTATATTTTTTAATATAAAATATACTTCTATGAAGCTGGATTTGGGCACATTATCTTATCACACAATGTGGCAGAATATAAGTCACATCTTGTAGGAGAGAAACCAGGCTATGTAGTTTTCATATGGTCTTATTCACCCTTTGTAGGATGTAATGGGAATGAAATGCAACCAACATGGTAGATTCTCAGTCACCTGGAATATTTAAATCAAGACATATACATACAAACAACACATACTCTGGTTCAACCACAAACTGTTGGGCAAGATTCAGGAATCACTAGATAAAAGTATCTGGTCAGTGTTACCCACAGCTGGTGAGACTAGATGGTCATAATGGCCCCTTCAGGGCATGAAGTCTAAGACAATACAATTCTACAGAGTTTGTAAACCAATGTAAAGATGTTTATCTCCCTAGGTTCTTATCTCACCCCCATTCCAGTAATAACTTAGGGCCTCCAAAATATTTAAAAAATACAAATAAATTTTCTCACACATTCTTCCTTCCTAACTTGTAGGAGAATTAGCTTGATTAGTTTATAATTTGTGAATGTGTATGTGTCTGAAGAAGTTATTGAAGGAACGCTAAGGGAAGATAACAACTTATAACCTAATTTGCCATCAGTACAGCAAGAAGAACATTACTCCCACAAGAAAAAAAATTAGTAGATTTTCAAGTCTATCCCTCTGCCAATGTGTTACTGTTCCCTACAACTTAAGTAGCTTGGTCTAGCCTAGTTTTAAAATATCCAAGCCATAGGGTTTCCACCATATCCCTGGGTCTAATACATCTTACTGTGAGGAAGTTGGTCATAATATTTAGTCTACAGTTTCCATATTCTTATTTTTTTTTGTCACATTAATTTTGCTCTGTTGGAATAATTCTTATCCTTCATGGTGTTTATTTTCTTTAAATATATTGAAGCTGTTATTCTCCTACCCATGATAATCATTTAGTCAAACATGTATCTGTTAAAACATGAATGTAACAAGTGGTACTATGGTCCCTACCTGAGTATAATGGCCAATCACTGCATCTGGTGTGGTTGGCCCAATGCCATACATGAAATTTCCCACCTCATTGTACCAGGCTTGAATTGCATCTGACCAGGAATTGGGTGCAGTTGACATGTAGAGATTTTCGCCACAGCCCACTGCTGAAAATGGAAAGGAAACAAGTCACAAAAGCTGAAGAAAGGGGCGTAAGAAGATACAAGCATTTTGTCATGTGGGTAGAACCAGTAGAAGATTCGGGAATTTCTAGGAGAGTCTGGAGGGAAGAATCTGTTTCATTTCCTGAATACCCACACACTACAGCCTTGCCCTCTGTCACTCTCAAGGTCACGAGTGAATGGTGTTGGGGAAATCCCAATGGTTCAAAGGTTAACTTTGATTCTCATAAGCATTCAAAGATTCAGATGTTTATCTGAACCTTCATGGTTCCAATAAATTAGCAAAGCCCAGATCTACCAAAATGCCAAGGGATCCCAAAAACTGAGAGATCCACCCACTCTGGACAGATGTTGCTGCCAGCAAAAACTCCTTGACATTGCTCACTCATTCCCTGTCCACAGCATCCTGAATAGTCTTATACTGGCCCAGCCTTCTGGTTTTCTCCATAAACTATGTCTATATTTCAAGGAGCTACTGTTAAGGATCTACAAGCTGAATGGAAACTTTTTAAAGACACCATAATGTATACCCCAAATTAAAAACCATAGTAAGTGAACCAAAAAAGTGACACCCTGGCTAAATAACACAGTAAAAGAAGCAGTGAAAGACAAAAAGGCATCCTTTAAAAAGTGGAAGTTAAATCCTTGTGAGGAAAATAGAAAGGAGCATAAACACTGGCAAATGAAGTGTAAAAATATAATTAGGAAGGCCAAAAAAGTATTTGAACAACTAGCCAAAGACTCAAACATTTATAGCAAATTTTTTTGCCTGCTAAACAACTGGTGGGGACAGTGGATAATCGAGGTGCTAAAGTAGCACTCAAGGACGATAAGGCCACTGCAGAGAAACTAAATGAATTCTTTGCATCGGACTTCGCAGCTGAGGATGTGAGGGAGATTCCCAAACCTGAACCATTCTTTTTAGGTGACAAATCTGAGGAACTGTCCAAGATTGAGGTGTCATTAGAGGAGATTTTGGAACAAATTGATAAACTAAACAGTAATAAGTCACCAGGACTAGATGGTATTCATCCAAGAGCTATGAAGAAACTCAAATGTGAGATTGCAGAACTAACTGTCATCTATAACCTATCATTTAAATCAGCTTCAGTACTGAATGACTGGAGAATACCTAACATGACACCAATTTTTTCAAAGGGCTCCAGAGGTGATCCCAGCAGTTACAGGCCTGTAAGCCTGACTTCAGTACCGGGCAAACTGGTTGAAACTATAATAAAGAACAATATTGTCAGACACAGAGATGAACATAATTTGTTGAGGAAGAGTCAACATGGTTTTTATAAAGGGAAATCATGCCTCACCAATCTACTAGAATTCTTTGAGGGGTCAACAAACATGTGGGCCATGGGAATCCATGTATATAGTGTACTTAGATTTTCAGAAAGCCTTTGACAAAGTCCCTCACCAAAAACTCTTATGCAAAGTAAGTTGTCATGGGATAAGAGGGAAGGTGTTCTCATAAATTGGTAACTGGTTAAAAGATAGGCAACAAAGGGTAGGAATAAATGTTCCGTTTTCAGAATGGAGAGAGGAAAATAGGCGTTTGCACTGGGACCAAACTTATTCAACATAGTCATAAATGATCTGGAAAAAGGGGTAAACAGTGAGGTGGCAAAATTTGCAGATGATGCAAAACTACTCAAGATAGTTAAGTCCCAGGCAGACTGTGAAGAGCTAGAAAAGGATTTCACAAAACTGAGTGACTGGGCAACAAAAAGGCAGATGAAATTCACTGTTGATAAATGCAAAGTAATGCACGATGGAAAACATAATCCCAACTATACATATGAAGTGATGGGGTCTAAATTAGCTGTTACCACTCAAGAAAGAGATCTTGGAGTCATTGTGGATAGTTCTCTAAAAACATCCACTCAATGTGCAACAGCAGTCAAAAAAGCTAACAGAATGTTGGGAATCATTAAGAAGGATAGAGAATAAGACAGAAAATATCATATTGCGTCTATATAAATCCATGGTATGCCCACATCTTGAATACTGCCTGCAGATGTGGTTGCCCCATCTCAAAAAAGTTATATTGGACTTGGAAAAGATTCAGAAAAGGGCAAAAAAAATGATTAGGTGTATGGAACAGCTTCTGTATGGGGAGAGATAAATAAGACTGGGGCATTTCAGTTTGGGAAAGAGACTGAGGGGGGATATGATTGAGGCCTATAAAATCATGACTGGTGTGCAGAAAGTAAATAAGAAAGTGTGATTTACTCCTTCTCATCACACAAGAACTAGGGGCCACCAAATGAAATGTATAAGCAGTAGGTTTAAAAACAAACACAAGGAAGTATTTCTTCACACAATGCACAGTCAACCTGTGGAATTCTTTGCCAGAGGATGTTGTGAAGGCCAAGACTATAACAAGGTTAAAAAAAGAACTGGATAAATTCATGGAGGATAGGTCCATCAATGGCTATTACCCAGCATGGGGAGGGATGGTGTCCCTAGCCTCTGTTTGCCAGAAGCTGAGAATGGGTGATAGGAGATAGATCACTTGATGATTACCTGTTCTGTTCATTCCCTCTGGGGCATCTGGTATTGGCCACTGTTGGAGACAGGATACTGTGCTAGATAGACCTTTGGTCTGAACCAGTATGGCTGTGCTTATGTTCTTAATCCACCCTGGTGTTTGTTATGAAAATATTGAGAAAATAGGTTTTCTTGCAATGATTCTTAAAGTAGGAGTAACTCCATGGAAGTCAGTGGAATTACACCAGTGTAAAACTGGTGCAACATAGATCAGAATCAAAGCTTACATTTGGATCTGGATTCAAACTTTCTCATGTGTCAGGAGTGGTCATGTCCATTGTTTTGTTTTGGGTCCAGTCTTGAATAAGCTCAAAGTAACAACAGCATTGTTCACCATTCTGTGACCTCAATTAAAAAAGTGTTTTACCTTCACACAAAATACTCTTCATATTATTAGAGCTGTTTAGGGATAAGGAGTCGGAGGAGGGGGATTGGAATGAGATAAAGCTAAACAAAAACATTTGAAAATTTTCCCCTTTTTTCCCCAAATTTAAAAATTGTGAAATTTATTGGAAATTTTTCATTATTTCTTTAATGTTGAAATTTAGCCTATATTCAAAAAATATTGCTTACCTCTAAATATCACACAGCAGAATAGATGAATCCATACACTCCACTGTTATAAATCTTATTCATTCAGCAAAATATTAATACCACTTAAATATGAGTGGGGTTATATTATCTGAAAATTGTTCATATCATTGGATGAATTGTGCATTATTAATTTAAAACTGACACTTTACTTACTAGTTGTCCTTCTGCTTTCAGGACTGTGGGATAAAGTACATTCATTTGCCCAACTTTTGGCATTCTCTGCAGCTGTGGGACTCCATTCCTTAATGAAATGAAAAACATTAGGTGTTCAGATGTGTATCTCCTAGTAATGCAGAATGTAGAAGAGAACATACACTTGGATACTGCATTTTCAGAGTGCTTAAACTCTTGACAACTCTCTCTCTCTTTCATTTGGGTAGTAAAAGGAGAAGGAGCTCAGTAGCTGCACACCTTAGGAGAAGGCTAGAGAGAACGTACCTCAAGACAACTGGGAGACCAGAGCTAGTGGATTTTCCATTCATTTGAAAAGGAGACTGTAGAGGGGTAGACACCAGCTCCTGCCCTGAGGGGCTTAAAACAGCCCTAGGAAAGGGCTGTGGCAGGAGAAAACAGCCACTGGGCTGATTGGGGGAAGCAGGCAGAGTGGCGGCCACGCCCCAAACAGAGCCCAGCTACCCCCTATATAAGAGGCTGGGAATCAGGGGCTCAGCAGTCTTTCTTTAGCTGTAGAGGGAGATGGACCTGGTTGCAGGGACCTGAGCAGATTGCTTGAGTGGACCAGTGCTGGGGAAAGGCAGAGGTGCTGGGGAGCTCCAGCCTGGAAAGCCCCAGGCTGTGGCCTAGCAGAAGGCCAATGGGTACTGGGGGTCGCAGAGGGCAGCCCAGGGGTAGGCAAAGGCAGCAGGTCTAAACCCCCCTTGCCAGTGATGAGTGGCCTACACTGCAGTCTACCCCAGGGAATGGGGGCTAGTTGCTGACTGGCAGTAGCCTTACACTGAGGCAAGGTGGGTATAGGGGCTGGGGGTTCCCTGGGTGGGGAGACCCTGAGACCAAGGGTTTACTGCCAGAGGGACAACACCCCAGAGAAAGGGGCACCAGGGTCTTGGGAGGGACACAGGGGCCAGTGGTAAGGTGGATCACCGGCCTGCAGAGGATGCTTTAGAAGCTGGATGAGCTAATTCCTGACAGAGACCAGCAGGAGGTGCTGTAGGAGTGAGTCCTGCACACTTACAGAGATGTTGTGCATGAGTAGCAGGATTTGTCACCCCCAATGTGCTTTCTTCCCTTGATAACTCCTATGTTCTCTAACATCTTAATGGGGAAAGGATTCAAATGACATGTTTTCTGCCAGCTGAAATGCTGTGCCCTTGCAAATTCTCTACTAACATTAGTATACATTACAGATTAGTTTACAAAATGCATCTTACCATCCTCAGCATGTTGCGAGCAGTTGGCATCACCCCTCTCCTTAGGGCATTGTGCTTGTCCACAATCTCCTTTTGTTGATCTGCCCTGTCAGTTGACAGAGCAGCAAAACCTGATGTCTAAATAAAAAACATGTACAATGGTTTTTTGTATATAGGTTGTGTGAGTCAAAAATATTTTATATGTGACGTTAGGAATCAATTCCAAGTAATGTGTCTTTATTAACATTAGTTCATGAAATATTTTAAAATTAATGTAATCTGAATGAATCAATAATTAATTCATAACTTATGGGTCAGTTATGATATCTGTGTTCTATGTTACTTAGCACCCTACTTCATATGTGCTCCTGGTGAGCACAATTTAGAAATGAGAAACTAATATTATCTAATCATAGGATTTTTTAGATTGACAGATTCTTCTAAATACTGTATATTTGGCCAAATTCAGTGCTGGTAAAGACAGGAACAACTACATTGAATTATTTACAGTGTTGTTGGGGTCCACTAGGTATAGCTACCAGGTAACTCGGGAGAGCGGAAGGCCAAAAGTGTCGATGAAACTCTTTTGCTCTGGGCCTACCTGAACCGCAGTGACTCCATCTTGGGAACTCTCACCTACTTCTATGCTAACTGCTTACATGCTCTGAAGTAGGTTGAAGCAGAAATGTAATGTCAGCTTTTTAGCAGATGGCTGCAGTTTCACTCACACTAGCAGAAATAATAGAGATAAGAAGCGAGGGAAAGGAGGGGTAGTTAGTTTGCAGGCGTCTAATCCAAGGTCGCAAAGATTGGGAAAGTTTTCTCACAAGCTTATGTAGAGCTTATTGTAACAGTTGTCTGGAAGGGAGGGGTAAGGGGGAACAGCCAGACAAAGAGATGTATGCAAACAGTTTGGAGTATAAAAGGTAAAAATTGTTTGTATTTGTTGCACTTGATTTGAGACATGCTGGTCTCCTAGTGCCATTTCAGAGCTCTGAAATAAACTTGGCTTGCTTTCTCCCCTCGGTGTCTTTATTGGTGCCAAGCACACCGGGCGACGGACCATTGTTGTCCCCTCGAGCCCTTTAGGGCGGGCAACAGTGTGGTTGCTCCTAGGACCCCAGTCATGGCTGAGGCTCCCATTCTGCTAAGCACTGCACGGACATATAGCAAAGAGATTGTTCTGTGGAGCTATGTGACTGTTAAGCATCTGTTTGGAAATTTTTGCTGAAGCTTTTGGCATTTTGAAATTCTTACTCCTTTCACATCTGTGAAAATACCACAAAAAGTTTGAGTTCTTTAGTGTACTACAGTATTTCTTCATGACCATGAATGTCATAGCTAAGGTTACAAAAGAGTTTTCATTATAACCCCAGTTATGAACATCTAAGCTCAGTCAGTATTACTGCACGTGTGTGTCATTTCACTTTTCATTCAGCCTCACTCAACCAAAGGGTCTTAGGTCCTAATCCTAGGATTCCTTCTTAATGTGCCTGATTTTAGTCACATGAGTAATCCCATTGCCATTGAGAGGACTACTTATATGAGTAAAGTTAATTGTGAAAGTACTTGCAGGATCTGGCCTTTCATTTTCCTTGAACACTTGTGCTGTTTTAAGGACTTAAATCACTTAAATGCTTCTCAAGTATCAGGGGGTAGCTGTGTTAGTCTGTATCTACAAAAACAACATGGAGTCTGGTGGCACCTTAAAGACTGACAGATTTATTTGGGCATAAGCTTTCATGGGTAAAAAACCTCACTTCTTCAGATGCATAGAGTGAAAGTTACAGATGCAGGCATTATATACTGACACATGGAGAGCAGGGAGTTACTTCGCAAGTGGAGAACTAGTGTTGACAGGGCCAATTCAATCAGGGTGGATGTAGTCCGCACCCAATAATAGATGAGGAGAATGGCATGATTCTCTGAAATGTAGCAAAGGGGAAATTTGTG